CATTCCATTCCTCCCTCTACAGCATCCACAAAAAGAAAAAACCTGTGAAGTAGAATTTTATTTTTAACTCAATGGAAATTCACTACTAATTCATAATAGATGTCTTATCTATAACAACAAAGGCACTGAGCTTTATTATATGTGTTTAGTGAACATATTTATAAAAAACTGAAAGATCAGCCATGTTGGGCTATTCTTTGTTATTTCAAATAACAACCCCTATTTTGGTCATAAACAGAATTATCAAGTTGGCCGTGTCTGACTGTCTGAAAGTAGGAGGAAAGAACATGTTGGTTTTGCCTGCTGGTGAGTAGGGGATGAAATTAAGGTAAAGCAGGTGTGAATCGAGGTTGGAGAAGACTGGCTGTGGCAGAAGATATGATTCATTCCTGCTACTTGAACCAGAAGTCCAGCTACTACATTTCAATGGCTCTTATCAAATGGCACCAATGCCTGTTTGAGCAGATAACCAGGAAGGTGAAAGTGAAAGTCAAGGTGAAGTAAAGACCAGAGGCTAAGTCCATCTGTGGGGAACGAGAAGTTGGAATGACTTCCTGGAAAAAACTCTCCCTTCTTCCATCATTTAATTGACTGAGGGTCAAGGGTGGACTTCTCTAGCAGGAGCTATCTGTGGTTTAGAATGATAGGGAGGCACCATGTTGTGTTTTTTCTTAAACTCTCTGTCTACTTGACATCCATTCACACAGCCATTTGTCTTAACTCTATTTCCTCCCTTCCTGTATTTTTGGTGTTCTGGCTTTGGTGGCCTAGCTGACTGGGGAGTCAGCCCCTCCCAAGGCTACCCAGTTTTTAGAGACAACAAAGGACTCACCAGGGAATACACCTTTCCTATGTAAACTAACCAATCTAAAGCCCCCACCCCCCCCCGCCCCCGCCCACCATCTCTAAGTTAAGTTAACCTGCTTTAAGTGAACCCAGGGCCAGGTACTAGACAACTATGCCCCAAAGCTTACTGGAATTATTCAAACTAGCAAATCCCAAGTGTTTATCCTGTCCCTGCCTCATCTTTCCTACAAACCACAATAAAATCTCTGACCTAGATTTTCCTCTCTCTCCTTCTGTTTCCTGAACAAAACCAGTGCTTCCCAAGTCAAATTATTAACAGCTCAGCAGTGGAAAAACAACAGTTGCTAAAAAGGAATGATGTTAGGAAGTAAAAGTGCTCATTAGAGGGATCATGATTTTCTTCTCAAAGCTTCAGTGATGTTGATGACTATTGAGATGAGTTGATTATGGGTGACGAAATTGGGAGTTTTGGTGTTGGCTGAGGATACAGAAAGGTGTTGACAGGGAAAGCAGATGAAATCAGCAAGACAATGGTAGATTTGGGACCTTCTTGGACAGAACAGAGCCTCAGGCTGCTTACACTGTCATTCAATATGATTTTGGATATCAAAAGACAGCTCCAGATGACATGGCCTCTAAGAATAGAAGTTACACTGGAACGTGGAAGAATAGATAATAATACTTAAAAATTCAGAGATAGAAGAGACACGATAGACTTTTCTTTTAGTTATATTGCTTTTTAGACAGAATGGTTTAAATTCTTTTCCAGAATATTTGAATAGTAATTAGAAAGTTTGGCTCTGTGCGGTCTATCTTCAAATACATGAGATTGGACTTGTCCTGTTTCTCACCCCTTTTGAAGTTCAAAGTATCCCACAGACTAACCTGACAAATAAAATTCTTTGGTGTGCATTTTGCCTTGTATCTTTCTGAACCCAATGGTCTCAATATTTATTTTTTAACTTATTTTCAGAGGAAACTGTGGTACTTCATAAGCCTGGGAGTTAGAATATCTGGGTTTTGGATCATTGTTCAATGTGTCCTTAGCAAAGCCCTCTAGTTTTTTGAAGAAAAATGGGCATAATAATACATTTCCTTAAAAATGATTAAGCCAAGCACCTGAGATAATACACATGAAGCTGTACCCAGAGGTACAAGATGAATATTATCATGTCATTTGAAGGGATGGGAATTTCAGGCCAGAGGTGGAGCTAGACTGGAGTCATCTATTTTTCTATTAAATTATACCCACTCAGGATAGAACATTTTTTGCTCATGCTCAGGATTATCTCTGCCATTTAGTTTGCTTGAGAACAAGAGTTGGGTTCTCACAATTCAGAATTCAGGCAAACATGAGATCCTCAGGGGAAGCATAATGAAGGAACCCACTTGTATTCTCTCTTTGTTTCAGTAATTGTCAGTCTTTAATTTATTTCCTTTGAGAAAGAGCTTATCTCACTATCAACTCATTAGTGGCTTAATACAGGGTAAGCTGATTATAGGCAATCTGAACAGTGACTGTTCGAACTGCAGAGCAATCAAGCTAATAATACCATTTCAGAATATGCCTCCTGGATCTATCATTTCAACTTATCTTGTTAGATTTTATGTGTATAGGCATCTTCAACGCCTCCGTTCCTGGGATCTTGCGTGCACTGTGGTCTTCCCAGAAAAAAAGGACATATGACGCCATATATTTGGGGGGAAAGGAAATGAAATTGTTCATACATTACCATTTGGTTCTCAATTGGTGACTCTATCCAAATACTCCAAGATTCAGTCTGAAAGAAAATATGAGATAATGTTACCAGAGGGGTCAGGGATTAGCTGGAGAAGGTAACTAAAGCGGAAACAAGGACGATTCACACTGAATACCCAGGGTGAAATAAAGGAATTTGAAACCTTTCCGAATCCTTTCCTTTTAGTCTGTCTCCAAGAGGCTGAAACATCTGGTGAATCATGTCAAAGATTCAATCAGTCATCCCTGTGTTTGGTGTTTATGATGCCAGACATCTGGATGGACTGAGTCTCTCTTTTCTTCAATTAAATCAGCTGGATGTTTTGATTTCCTGCAGAATCAGCTTTAGTCCAAATAACACACATCATTGTCCTATTTGTACTCATGTTCAGTTTGGATCCTTTTTGTTTTCAATTTCTATTAACGATTGATTTAAAAATAGTTTTGTATGTTGTGTACTACGTTTGAGCATTAATATGAGTATTAATAAATAAATCAGAGAAACAACATTGACTTGACCATTTTACTTTTTTCTAAAAGAAACCTGAATGTTACATATAATGAGTGGACATTGAGAGAGTGAAATAACAGTGTTAAATAGTTACATAGCTAGTTCTTAGCAGAGCTCAGAATATCCCCTTTGATGTAAAGACAGCTGGCACTGACAGTCAGTTTAATTGTGTGTAACAGGAACACACAATCTATGTAATTGATGCATTCCTAGACTTTTTAGTCCATAAGAATTTGGTCTGGTTTTATATTATTTTCAGATCCCCTTTGCATTCTTATCTGGAAAGGCTTCTTGGCAACTTGGTGATGGGAGGAGATTTCAAAAGAGATGAAAGGAAACCATGAACACATACTGTTTTAATGAAATATTTTCTAGGAGAGAAATCAAACCTCAACATAGACAAAACAGAGTTTATTACTGTAAATATGATAGAAAACAACTGAAGAATTTGGGATTAACATTTCATGCCTCACTCACCATCTCATGCCTCACTCACCACATTTTCAGGGGACCTGCCTCACACACAAGTCAGAGGTGGGTGCTGCTTTTTCACTAAGGCGGTTCTCTTCTTTGGTGTTAAAGAAATAACAGTTCAATAAAGAATAAAGAACCATCTTGATGAGATTGTAGTTGATTTTGATGGACAGATTAATTATGATTTTAGGGGTCTTATGATAATCACTGAGCCAAATCAGCTATTTTCTATTTAGATTGTGAGAGTTATATGACACATGTCTAAAAACAACACATAAAAATTTTCACCAAAATTGGGCAGAGCTCCGTTCCTTCAGAATCACCCACCATACCTTAAGTCAGATCAGTTGCTAAAATAAAAACTAAACTCCACTTTGATGCTACTCTGCCAGATGTGGATCTTTCTTGACACTTTTTCTGGAGTTGATTTGGCAGATGTTTCTAGTGCACAGATATTTATTGCAGACATTCTGGAAAAGATAGGAAATTTTAAAAAAATAGAAAAAGAAACTCAAAATATGTTTTTTTCTCTGAGAATGTTTGACTTATAGACACACTTACATATACATATTTAAGAAAATGCATCCAATGCATCCACATTTAGAACCATAGACTCATACTGAGCACATTATTTTGTAATTTTCCTTTTTAAAAACATAATTGACAATGTCATCCATATAATATGCATTTATTTTCTTTAGCAGGGATCAACAAACTGTTTTTGTAAAAGGCTAGATAGTAAATATTTTATGACTTTCAGGGAATACTATCTTTGTCCCAACTACTTAACTCTTAGAATGTAGCTATTCACAATGTATAAATAAATGAGTGCGATTGTGTCCTAATAAAACTTTATTTACAAAACAGACAGTGGGTCAAATTTAATCTGTGAGCTACAGTTTGCTTGTTCTACATGTCTTATTTTTAGTAACTATATTATTATTTACTTTTAAGTCTATTTAGTAACAATATTGTGATGAAAATTCTTACCACTAAAACTTGGTACACAATGGACTAGATTTTCCTCAAGATAAATCCTTGGAAGAGGGATTTCAGAATCAACAGAAAAGACTTTATAAAGTGCTCAATATGTATTTTTCAATAAATGTCCACAAGTTGCAATTTCCATTCTCACAAATGATGTAAAAGAGGACCTCTTTATCCATATCCTCACTAACAAAGCTTACTATGGATTTTTTTAAATCTTGATCAATTTGATAGCTACTGTTTTGAGTTTTCTTTTTTTGATCTCTTTTTTATATGTTTAACATTTAATCATAAATCAGTTATTTCATTCCGGTCAACCTAATTTTATAAATGATGAAAACATGCAAATTTAGTTTCAGCACATTACATGATTTGTATCCATAACTAGATGAGCACATAGGTGCTATTGAAACAGTAGGGACTATTCATCAAGTCCCTATTTAGCCACTGGAATTGTAAAATAAGCCATGTTTCTTTTCTATTCTTGCTTATTTTGACTCTTGTCCATAACATAAGAAAATGTCTTTTTGAACTTTTTTGTTCTTCTTTTTCCCCTCACTGAACCCTCCCATGGAGAGCACACTTCATCTGACTCACTGGAAGGCAAAATTCTATGAGGTAAATGTGCTAAAGGTCATAGACATTGTTGTGGGTTGAATTGTGTTTGCATAAAAGATATGTTGAAGTCCTAACCTCCAGTACCTGTGAATGTGACCTTATTTGGAGATAGGGTCTTTGCAGACATAATCAGGCTAAGATGAGGTTGTTAGTGTGGGCCCAAATCTAAAACAACTAGTGTCCTTATAAGAAGTAGAGCAGACTGAGAGAGACAGAGGGAAAACAGCCCATGTGAAGATGGAGACAGAGATTGGAGTTATTAGCCTTAAACTAAGGAACTCCTGGGCTACCAGAAGCCAAAGGAGGCAAGGAAGGATTCTTCCTGAGAGGTCCAGGAAGAAGCATGGCCCTGCCAATACATGATTTCAGATGTCTAGATTCCAGAACAGTAAGAGAATAAATTTTTGTTGTTTTAAGCCACCTAATCTGTAGTAGTTTATTATAGCAGCCCTAGGAAACTGACAGGCATGAATGGCCATCAGCTTTATTGGAGACTAGTGGCCTGGTGCATAGAATTCTTGTGTGTGTGGGGGGGGTGTTGCCCCTCAGCCCGGCCTGCACCCTCTCACAATCCGGGACCACTGGCTCCTAACTGCTCACCTGCTTGCCTGCCTGATCTCCCCCAACTGCACCCCCCCACCAGCCTGATCACCCCCAACTGCCCTCCCCTCCTGGCCTGATCACCCCTAATCGCCTCTGCCTTGGCCCTGCTACCATGACTTTGTCCAGAAGGAAATCTGGAAGATCTCTGGGAAGGTCTCCCAGTCTTATTAGCATATTACCCTTTTATTAGTATAGATGTCCAGTCTGAGATTCTGCCCACTTTTCTCTCTTTCAAGTGGAGCTCTCATCAGAGCAATCCCTTTTTCCCTTATGACTGATCTGCCCATGACTTGGGGATTTATTTATTTCATGAAGGAAGGTGGAGGAAGCTCTTTGGGCCTTGAATCCAGATCTCTATCTCCCCACTTTTATGATAATAATATCATCATTGAAGTTGATATTTTGATCTCCTATACCCTTTCCACCAGATAGTGCTTGAGCCTGAAAGTCTTGAGAAAGACATGGGGAGACTGGCATTTTGGTGATCAACTAACACCTGGAGATGTCCAGCCAATATCCAAGTAGGCTTAGGTCTCAGCCAGCATGGCTTCAGGGCCCTCTGGCTGATATTGATCCAAGAAGAAATGCTGTGGTCATATCTGATATAACAGGTATGTGATTGTTGGAAAGGGAAATTTTAAATTCCAGTTAAGTCTTACCTTAAAACAGGTTACACATTGTACAAGTGTTTTAGGCCCTGGAAAAGGAAATAATTTGTTTTCCTTTAACTGTATATTTTTTCAGCCAAGACTTTAAAATCAAAAGGCAGATAAGTTTCCAATGGACCTCAGAGAATATGTGCATGAGGTTTGAACATTTTTTTAGTATTTATCATGAGTAGGTAACACAAGATGCCTTGCCCTAAACTTATTCTCTTGTCTTATTTTGAACTACTTCAAAGGATAAGGAAGAAAGCTGTGCAAGGGTTAAGTTCATGAATTCATGAATGTATCAAGAAGAGTAAGAGTCCTTAGTACACACCAGATCAGTAATCTTCTTGAATTGAAAAAAAAAAATCACTCAGTGGTTATTATTAGAAACTCAATGGTTGAAAGGAAATTTAAAAGGCTTATTTCCTAGAATGCTGATTTTAGAAAAGCTTCCCCAGAAAGGTTGGGAAGAAGTCGATTGGTGTATATAACATGCTTTCATCTTAATGTCAAAACATGAGTTGTGGGAGAGAGAAAGTAAAGTAAGACATACTGGTTTCAGTGGGGCAGGTGAGAGTTTTTCTTATTAGGAACTTTAAACTTTTGATTGATAGGTAAACAAGAGATAAGTGCAGACCTAACTGTTTATATAAGAGTGGGATCAGGCTTTCTGTGATGAGGTTGGAAGGCCTAAGGGCTTCAGGCCAGAGGATATGGGAGAGACTCGAAGACACCTTCAGCATGACTGTGAGGAGAAGTGAAGTCAGATCAGCTAGTGTGCATAACAGACAGAGCGAGCTGGGAGAGACAGGCCCTAAATTCTACCATCACAGGCCCCAGCCACAGGAAGATGCCCAAGGATGGGGCCTAGAAGACAGTAGCAGGCTTAGGTGGGGCTATTTGGGCAGCCATTCAGATGCAGAGCCCAGGGGGACACAGAGGACACATGTGGATTCAAGGAGTCTATCCTTTCTGTCCTAGGGTGCTGTCAGTCATGTCCTTATGTCATGGAGTCAGAAACCATCTTAGAGAAGAGGACCCGAAAAACCAGGTATTTATATCAAGATACTATTCAGCCTACTGCTTCAAATAAAGTCAAATGATTGGGCTGAAGTAGAGTTTTTTCCCCCTGCAACCCACCAGAGAGGGTGTCATGAGTGATCAGATTATAGGTCAGATTCTATTTCTCAGTTATAGAGAAATAAAGTACCTGTTCTGCAGTTGTACATTTGGGTGTAGAATACAGAGGTTTTATTATGCAATAAAAACTTCACATGCATATGCTATTTTTAGCAGGCTCTAAGAAGGGAAAGTTAAAGTCTAAGGACCAGCAACAGGGAGAAGGGCTCTTTATCCTAATGCCACAACCTGTCCATGCTCACCCTTCCCTTCTGGACTCCTCCAGATGCTCTTTGTTTATTGGGTTCCTCCAGAAGTAGTGGGGAGGACGTGGAGCCAGGGACATTTTAGGCTACCATCTCCTCCAAGTCGGCCCTTTGTCCAGCTTTGGAAAGTCTGTGTATTAATGAGGCTCCAGAGATGAGACACATGACAAGGATGTGCTGTGTGCTCACAGACCTAACTCATGATCTGGGCTGGCCATCTGTCTGGGGCTGCTGATTTCTTGTCCATTTATTTCTGTGGGTACATATTTCAGTCAATAAATATGTACCCACAGGGCTAAGCAGGGGTATTATAAATGGAAAAAAAAATGTTCCACATATTTCCCTCAAGAGGTTTACAAACTGAGAAGTAAACAAGCTGCAAGAAAGGTGGGGAAGGAATGGTGAGTTAATCTGCTATTTTTCACACCAAATCTTCTTAGACATTGAACATGGGAGAACAGAACTTGGAAAAATATAGAAAATGAAATGCTGTATTTGCGTAGACTCTCTAGGAGATTGGAACTTTCTGAATGTCTTTAGCTACCAGACATCATGGAAGATCAGAGAAGGAACACCGAACAACAATGACCTTGTCCAATGATCTCTACTTCTGACTTAACACAAAAGATTCTTGTAGAAAGGACAACTTTACACAAAAGCAGTACACTAAGGAGAGAGTGGCATGAAGCACAGAAAACTCTTCCTTCATTTGGGAAAAACCCCCAGAAGTCTCCTGTTGTTGGTTTGTGATGTCATCTTAGAATACCAAGGAAAAACCATCTTTATAGACAGCAGGGGGACGAAGCCCAAGTCTCTCCAATAGTACACAGGAAATGAGCACAACATGTGGGACCCAAACTTGCCTTTGTCTTCTTTTCCAGTCACTTGCTATTTTGCCACACTCGGCCACCCAGTCTCAGGCCCACCCAGCGGATGTTGGTGCCAGCAAGAAAAGATGCGGTTGCAGTTAGGCGTAAACATGAGAACTTGTGTTAAATGTGCTAAATCGCAGCTAATGGGATGCCGGGCATTTCTCTGTAATGTGCAATGGAATGTATAACAATATGCTTGTGTAAAGCCATGCTACTTGAACTACCGGGCTTCCCATTTATAAATAAAATATATATTATGCACGGAAGTACTTAATATGAAGAAAGATGGTAAGCAATACAGATTATGTTCTATGAAAGAAATGAGGGAGCTATGATTTCTGGTCTTGTGAATTCAGTTCTCAAACTTGGTCTACAGAACTAGGAAAAATGTGAGCATCCAGAGCCCTCTCCCAATTGGTACTATAGTCTCGTGGGGCTCTCTTACTAAGAACATTCTTCTTTCAAGTGCAAGAGCAGTTCTGCATTGTTAATGCACAGGATAATATTTTGTTACTGACTTATAATTGCTTCACTCAAATATATTATTGCCCCACTTTTATAATTTTTCAAAAATATTGCCTATTAATATACTTGCTAATGGCAAGACTAGCTCAGGCATAATAATTATACATGTCATCATTTATTTAGCTCTACATTGGCCATACTCTACAGCTTGCCTGGGAAAATTTTAATGTATTTTTGTGCTCCAGCGTGTTTATGAAGAATAGTCTCTTTGACTCTCAAAAAATGTCCTGTTTGGGTGATAAATTACAAAGTCAACTTAATCTCACAAATATCAATGTCCCTGGCTCTGTGCTAAGAATTTAGTGTATTTTATCTCATGTGGTCCTAAGCAAGCAAGCAAACCAATGAACTGTGATTTCTGCCACTGTCTCTAGCTGCTGCAGCAGACTCATCCTCACACTGAGATTCAATGGGCCAAGATCTCAGAGGGGAAGGAAACACGTCCTCTTCTTTCCCCCTCAGAACAGCGGTTCTCAACCTGTGGGTCGCGACCCCTTTGGAGGTCGAACGACCCTTTCACAGGGGTCACCTAAGACCATCCTGCATATCAGATATTTACATTACAATTCATAACAGTAGCAACATTACAGTTATGAAGTAGCAACGAAAATAATTTTATGGTTGGGTCACAACATGAGGAACTGTATTTAAAGGGCCAGAAGGTTGAGAACCACTGCCTTAGAACATTTGTCTATTTGTTGGCTGTTCAAGGAAAAGAAGCTAAAAAGAAGTAGTAGTTCAGGGTTTTAACATATATCCTACATGCAGAAAAGTACACAAATCATAAGCATATCTATAATAATAAAAGCATAATATGCTAATTAGACTAGACGTCCTCCCGGATATCCTTCTGGACATCCTTCTGGACGACCTTCCGGATGAAGCCAAGACTGTGAGGGAAGCCTGGGTCCTGGGTGTCAGAGGGAAGCTGGTGCCAGGGAAGGAAGGCCTACTCTTGCACAAATTTCATGCATCAGGCCTCTAGTAATTCAATAGGATTTCACAAAGTGAACACATTCCTATAACTACTTCCCCAGTGAAGAAACAGTTCCATCATCCTAGGAGGGGTCCATGTGCCTTTTCTTGTGCATTACCCACCACAACCGTAGCTACCATTCTGACTTACTAGTATCTCATATGTAAGTTTTACTTGTTTACGGACTTTATGTAGATGGACTCATATAATATATTCCCTTTTATTAAAAAATAACATTTTTATTGATTTTTATAGACAGAGGAAGGAAGAGGGAGAGAAAGACTGATGGGAGAGAGAAGCATTCATCAGCTGCCTCCTGCATGCCCCCTACCAGGGACCTAGTCTGAAACCTGGGCATGTGTCCTGAACAGGAATCGGACCAGCAACTTTTTGGTGCATGGGACAACACCCAACTAACAGAATCACACCCGTCAGGGCCACCCTTTGTGTCTTTTACTGCTGCAGAGTATTTTTGGTTTAACAGGAGATAATTTATTTACTCCTACTAGAGGTATGATTAAATTATTGTGTAATTACCTGTTTAATGTGCTCCAACTCATTTTAATGCAAATCTGATGAGGATAAGGACTGTGTTTCTTTCACTGTTGTATCTTCAGCATCTAGCATAGTTCCTTAAACATGGAAAGTGCTCAGAAATGTACCAAATGAATAAATAAAGGTTACCACTGTCCCAACCCACTCCCATGCCACACCCAAAAAACCATTCCTGCCTCCAAAGAAACAGTAGTGTTTAATAGACACTAGTCCTTTTTGAAAAATTCTGACCAGATGAAGGAGTAATGGCAATGCTGTATGTATCAAAGAACTGCATTTTTGTGCTTGAACTTTGGGATGGGCAATGCTAAAACAAAGATGACCAAGTAGAAAATTGCAATTAATTTTTTATTTCACTAGTAAAAAAAAAAATAAAGCAATAAAAGTGAGTTTACCCTAAAAAATGTTTTGTAAAGTTAGTTTAAAATGTTGAAATAAAATTTAAGACTATATAGTCTTAAGTTTGTCTGTCTCTTGGATATAGATTTTTGAACAGTGATTGTCAGAAACATAAAGCAGTTTTACACTCTTTTTATTCTCAAATGATGGTCTAATGTCTTAAGTCATAAGAAGTACCTCTAGTCACTAAAATAAGCATCTCCATTTGGCTTGATGTATGTTTAGTCTATTTCTTCTTGGCAAAAATATTTTAGCATGAGTGTTCAAGCGTAAGGCTGACAAAATGTTTTCTTTCCTACCCATTTGTGTGGTCTTGTTTAATAAAAAGTATATATAAAAAACTAAATAGGATTTGTTCAGAGGAATATATATATATATATATATATATATATATATATATATATTCATTTACTTGACATTAAGAATAATCCATCAATGGTAGGTGAGTTCTAAGTGAGAAAAAATAAGAGAACAATCTTTCTACTATCCAGAGTTTCAGCTATTTAATTACAACTTTGCCTTATTTCATTAGAAAAAGTGAAAAATCACACAATATAAAGAAAATATTTTTAGTTTTGTGAATAATTTAATTTATAATATGTTACCACTTTTGCTCTCACCATTTAATAATACATAGGTATGACTTTGTTTCTACTTTTATTTTTTTTTTTTGAAATTTGGACAGGAAATTCTGTGTTCCAATAACTTTATTCTTGTAGTACTAGTATATAGGTACATGGGTGGAAACTAATCTTAATTCAAAAGCGTGTATTGAATTTTTCTCATGTCCATAACATGTGACTGAAGCTTTCGAAGGACCTTACAACACAAGTGAAAAGACAAAATAGATTCATGTGGAATAATTATATGTCCCATAAAGTAGCAAGTGACAAGCTACTATAGTGAACAGTTGATATTTACTATAGAAATATAGATAAGACGAATATCTTACTGGACTAGGAGAGCTTGAGTATTCCTTATAGTTTAAACCTAATATGAATCCCAAGAAAAGTAGATATAAATAAAATAAATGCATAGGGAAGGTAATTTCCTCTAGGGAAAACAATATGATGAAAGTTTTTGAGTTGAGAGTAGGCACAGGGCAGAAAGCTTGAGTGTGATGAGTTTGGCCAAGAAGGGTAGAACTAATTTCAGGAGAATCATAAGGGCAGACTCATGAGGTTGGATTGTACTATTTAGAAAATTAGGATAACATTTTTGAAAAGGTGAGGGAAATATTGACATTTATTTAAATTAAAAAACAGGATCAAAAGGAATATGAAGGGACTAAAAGTATAAAGATGACATATAGTATACAAGAAGTGACAATAAGAAGATTAGGAGGTAGCCTTTCTTATTTTCTTTTATACCTTATGTTCTTAAATGTCTTCAATTTATTTTCTTTTTGCAAAGAGCAAGTAGAATGAAACTGCTAGAGAGGTTGAGGTGGAAGACTTCTTTTTTATAAATGATGAATTTGGCTTTGGCCATATTGATTTTGGGGTGAAGTTTGGTTGTGCAAATCAAAATGTCCCTGAGGTAGCTAGAGATCCAGGCTAGAATTCCTCAAGAAGACAGAATGGAGACTCAGATGTGAATCACCAGCACACGAGCAATGATTAAAATAATGAGAAACTATAATGATAATATTCTACTGCTTTAGATAGAGGATGAAAGATAGCTTTGGAGAATTTCCCTAGTTTGTGGCTGGGAGAAGGAAGGAGAAGTAGGACTGAGTGGTGGTAGGTAGGAAATAAAAGTATCAGTCAAGTACAGTGTCAGAAAAAAAGGGGGTGGTGTTCACTGCCTCATTGTGCTTAAGGGTCAACCCTGAGGATTGTGAAAAAAATCTTTAATTTTCTAAGAGAAGGAATTAGCCCCCCCTCCCCCCTTTTTTGGTAGGGATGGCACATGTAGGTGGACGGGAGTGAACAGAAGCAATACTGGATTTCAGGCCATTGGGGAGTTGTAGAAATGAGTCTATAATTGTGTGTTGCTAGTTTAAAAAATTTGGAATGGAAAAGGATAGAATCATGGCTATAATTAGGAAAGTATGTTCATTGCAACATTATTCACAATAGCCAAGACATGGAAACAACCTAAATATTCTTCGAAGAATGATTGGATAAAGAAAATATGGCACAATGGAATACTACTCAGCCACAAGAAGCTAAAATATTACCATTTGTGACAACATGGATGGATCTTAAGAGTATGATGCTAAGTGAAATAAGTCAGATGGAAAAGGACAAGAACCATATGATTTCACTGATAAGTAGAATATAAAACAAAAACAAACATACCCACAAACAAACAATCAAATTCATAGATGACAGAATGGTGACCACAGAGGGGATGGGAGTGGGGGAGAACAAGGAGGGTAAAGGGGACCAGATACATCGTGATGGAAGGAGACTATGCTTGAGGTGGTGAGCGCACATAGAGTATATAGATGTCGTATTATAAAGATGTACACCTAAAAATTATATAATGTTATTAACTAATGTTACCCCAATCAATTTAATAAGAAAAAAAGACATTTTCAAAATGGGTAAATATGAAATACGCAAGATGTAGAGATTTCAACAGGGGAAAGGGAGCTGTAGAAGATGGCGAGGGAGTGATACAGTGAGTGAGTGAGCTGTGCAAAAATAAAAATTTGGGAGACAGGTGGAGAGTTCTTTGGTTCTTTAACTTGAAAAGGGATGAAATTTTTAAAAAGTAATTGGGAACAGGACCTAAAGGAGAATAGGTGTGGGAACTAAGGACTGATGGCTTTTTTTTTTTTTTTTTCAGGAAAACAAGGCAGGAATTTGCTGGCAAGAATAGAGTGGAGGAGTGAGAGAAATATTTATATAGTAGAGACTCATATATCATTCCCACATTTAATTTATGTGAGTATTACCAAATATGCTTTGAAAAAAAAGGGGAAGGAAACAAGTGCCTTCAGTTTCATATGGTTAAAATTATTGAATCTGTTCTTCATATAAAAAATGATTTATTTTTAAGTTTTTCCTTGGCCATGAACTGAAAATATTAAGTATATTTGTATGGTGGACACTGTGATATGCACCCAGAGCCTCTTTCTAGATTGAAGGATTTGCTTCCCCAGCTGCTGGGAGTGCCGCCAGACAACCCTCTTTAGCTGTCATTCCACATTGGAAATTGCCTTGGCAGAAGAAAAATGCCTCACCCAAGGTCATGTCCCCTTCTGATGGCCCACATCCAGCCACTGATCAGTATAGGAGATAAAGACCCCACCCTTCCTCCCAAACAGAAAACCCACTGGAAGGTCCATCCAAACTGTAGCCTCCCGCAGGGTTGGCTGAGTTCTTCCCTGCGATGTATCACAGCTCCCGCTCTCTTCCTGTCCTTCTAACGGGTGTTCAAGAGACCTCCCTAAATATCCTTTATGCTAACATGTGATTCAAAGTCTACCTCTCAGGGAAAGGAAAGGGCAACATTTGAAAGACTTATCCTCCCAGTTGCTGTAAATGCTGCTAGAAGACAGGCATCGGATCTTAGTATCCTTGACGTTTTGCTTCAGATGAAGAAAACTTTACCCAGTCATGTATTCCTCCGGAACAGTCCATATTCAATGACTAATTAATGTGGTGACAGGAAGGCTGTCACCCTCACTCCAATTTGGGACAATTTTGACAAGCCACATCTAAAGCACCCCGTGGCATTGGCTTAGGCCAGTGGTCGGCAAACCGCAGCTTGAGAGCCACATGCGGCTCTTTGGCCCCTTGAGTGTGGCTCTTCCACAAAATACCACGTGCGGGCGCACGTACAGTGTGATTGAAACTTCGTGGCCCATGCGCAGAAGTCGGTATTTTGTGGAAGAGCCACACTCAAGGGGCCAAAGAGCCGCATGTGGCTCGCGAGCCACAGTTTGCCAACCACTGGCTTAGGCCTTCATTGTGACTGCATTGCTGTTCAACTTTTCCTTCTGCCAAATTCTTCCTTCCCTTCCTTCTACAGGTGTGAGGCCTTAGGCGCTCCTTAGTCCATGTTCTGCAAGATGAGCTCCATCTGGGAGTAGGCTTCCTTTGAAACCTAATCTGCAACCATCTACTAACCCAAGTTTTATTTTTTAACATGGATTTTTGCCTTCGCAAGTTTTCCAATATAGTTCCATTGCTGCATTTGACTCTCCTGGAAATAAATACAGGCATTCTTCATTTTATCTCACTTTGCTTTATTGTATTTCAAAGGTGTTGCATATTTTTACAAATGTAAGGTGAAACCCATCACCAGCAAGAAAGATTACGACTCGCATTACGGCAATGCTCACTTTACCTTACTTGCTTTATGGCAGTGGTCTGAAACCCAAGCTGCAACATCTTGGAGTTATGCCTGTAAGTTGTTAATATATTTCTTTTCATGAAGGCAGTCTCCTCTAGTGCCCATGATTTGAAGTTTTTAAAGGTCCATTGGTAATACCAGCTGGTTTAGAATGTTTGTGTGTAATGTTTTGCTTTGTTGATTTCAATAACCACTCTTACTTAAACTTTATTTGAGCTTCTTTATATTAAATTACATTTCTAATTGCCTGATAACTCTACAGAATATTAATCAATACATGTGCTGATTTAGCCACAATATCTAGAACAGGATTTGTTACCATTTTGCTGAATTTTGAACAAATGATTCTATAACGCTGATAACTTAAGTGAGGCAGAAATTGCAATTTTTTATTTTATACCCATTTCTCCTTTATGCATTCCCCATCCTTCCTTGTAGCTAGGTGTGGCCATGTGACTAAATTTGGGGTATTTGCAATGTGAATAAAAATAGGGTATGCGATTTGTAGGAAAGACCATTTCCTGCTGATGGACGTGAACACAATGGCAGGAGCTAAGGAAGTAACCTTGTACCATGTTGAAGACGGCAGAACAGGTCAGATGGAGGCTGGCTCCCAACACAGGCCACATATCAGCCAAGACTTCTACATGAGAAAGAAACATGTATTTTATTTAAGCCATTATTATTTTGGGTCTTTCTATCACAATTCCTTAACTAATCTTCTAGGAATATACATATCTTAGGATGCTTCCTAGTGTCATATTAATGTAATTAGTAGTTGTTTGCCAGTAGGTTGGGTAATATATACATTCTTCTAAAACTAAGTGTATTAATCTGGGCTATTTATGCCCTAGTGGGCAAGTGGTGGCGTGCCAGAGTTCAAGGAACATTAGGGTCAATCTGACATATTTTCTCTAAGTATTAACTTTATTCAAAGTTTAAAAAATTTTTTTAAGAGTGCCTCAAAGATAAGTAAATTATAAAAATATTAATATATTAAACAGTAATGCAAAACTTTCATGATATTTTAGGACAAACAAAAAACTTAAAAAAACGTTTAATGCTTGAGGTGAGCTATTTCTTGCAATGTCCCCCAGCTTACTGGGCTTGTGTTCCCGATCCTTTTGCTTTTATGGTGTTTCTAGGGAAATTTTGGAAAGCTCTTTTCTACCAAGATATTCTTTCTCAGAGTCAGAAGCTCTCAGCCTGAATCAAAATGATCTTTCCTTATTTACATTGGCATCTAATTTGTTCCACGTGGGTCATGATACCATTTCTTAAATTGATGTGTTGGTGTTTTAGAAATATTGTATTTTAGAAATTGTAGAACTAACTTTTGTGATTTTTCTTGACTTTATTCTTCAATATTTTTTAAGATATTCTTATTTCCATTTTCAACAGAGCTCTTATTTATTCCAGCTCAGTAGTTATACATGGCTGAGTCTGGCTCAGACCACAGGGCCCAATTTATTGTTTTTGGCTGTCCTTTTCCAACTTTGTTATTCAAACCTTTGGGTGGCTGCATGCTCATTTTTGAGTGTCTGATAGAGTTTGAGAGATTCTTAGCAGATAAAGCAGAATGTTAGAGTGCTACTTGGGTTGTACTCAGTGATGCAAGTTTTGGTATAAAGTTCAAAATTGTAAATATGAATGGATTTTCTTCCTGGTTGCAATTACCCTCATTTCATTTTCTAGAATATTAAATCAAAGGAGCTAACAGTGGGGACAAAGATCAGATAGAGGGTTGAACATATTTAATACAGGTCTGAAGAGCGACATTTTAGGGTGGCTTTGGAATGTTAAATGGTGCTAATTGAGTTATTTGGTAGCTGGCATTTATAAAAGCCAGGTAGAACTCCTTTGCTCTGTCCTTATGAAATGGGTGTATTCATAAAGGGGATACCGAAGGATTGGAGAATGCTTTAGCTTCACACTAATTACCAACAAGGCGCCCCTTCTACTTAGCATAGTGGCTACCGAAATTAAAATATTGGATAACAGGAGGCATTTACCCTATATTAGTGGTTTCAGATCAACCTGAGTTCTAACCTTATGCTGAGCAGCATGAGGAACATAAAACATAAGGAAGAAACACATGAATGGGAGAGATGGTGCATAAAATAAAGAACAAGGCAAAGCCATCAGTGATTAACCACCAAATGCGGTGGAAGTTGCATTTGATAGCCAATTGGTCATGGTACTTGGCAAAGCCAGATGCAGCTGAAGAAAAGCCTGGAAAAAAACTGAGGTGTTGTAAAGGGATCCTTTACACAACCCTTGTTAAGTTTCGGCAATTCGGTGGCAAAAGCTGCCATTTGGCAAGGAGCATGGGGTGGAGAAATGAGCTTTAGTGGGGCATCTGACCTGTGTGTCTACTCTGTGAGAAGAAGCTTGATCAAGTCGCTGGTTTGCTCTGGGTCTTATTCTTGCCACTTTAAGATGTTTCAGGATGATTCAGAGAAGGTACTTCATCTGGAACCAATTTTGCCTACTTAAGCAGAAAAAGAACTTAGTAGAAGAGTGTGGGGTTCTTTACAGAATTGAGAAAAATGCTGAAGGATATGTCTGTTCCCTTTGTCTTTGATCAACCTTCAGGCAGACAGAATCTGATTTGCCTCATCTGGGTCATGTGGAAGAGATTGGTGATAGTCGGGCAACTTTGCTTGTCAAACCCAGGTCAAAAGGGGGAAATGCATGCCACCTTTTTCTACCGCCCAGTTGGTACATAGCATCCTTCTGGTTTTGAGTACTGGTCACTCCCTTATCTTGGGCAAATGTATTAAAATCTTTTGAACCTCAGTTTCCTCATCTGCAATGACAATATCTAATTCAAAGTTCTGTCAAGAGTATACATTGAGCTACTGGATGTTAAATCTGAGGCTCTTGAATGGAACATAGTAAACACTCAATAAATACTTTCCTTTATATTAATCTTTGAAGGAAGGATCAGAGTATGGTTTAGCATGTGTCTCAAGTATGTGTATGTTCTTCCATGTGTGGACATGTTAATGGCTCTCTCACACCTATCCATGTCTATTTTTTGAGTGTGTCATTATCAATAAATTTTTTTAAAAAATATATTTTATTGATTTTTTACAGAGAGGAAGGGAGAGAGATAGAGAGTTAGAAACATCGATGAGAGAGAGACATCGATCAGCTGCCTCCTGCACATCTCCTACTGGGGATGTGCCCGCAACCCAGGTACATGCCCTTGACCGGAATCGAACCTAGGACCTTTCAGTCCGCAGGCCGACGCTCTATCCACTGAGCCAAACCGGTTTCGGCTATCAATAAATTTTTATGAGTACTTCTTTGCATGCACAGTGCTGGAGGTTCAAAGACATATAATATGACACTTGCCCTTAAGGGAAATTGTAAAATGCTAAATAAATATAAGTTAATAAACACATCAAATATAAAAAATATATGGGGATGTTTCCAAGTGCTAAATAAGAACATCTAAGCAAAGTCTAACCACTGAAATTACAGTGGTGATATAATTTAAAAAACATTTAAAGTTGAACCTTAGCCTATATTAAGATACAGAATATACCTACATATTATATCATTGCCTCTTGTTCTGTTCAACCAAGAACTACTGCTCTTACTATCTCCATTTTCTCCTTTCCCTTTAATTTCATCACTCAAGCTCTGGGCCCAGCAGTCATTAGTATCAGGGTTCTAGACTGGCACCTGGCTCTTCCTTCCAAATGTGGATTAAGAAGCTTCCTGTGACCCAGAAAATGCCTCTTGTAGGTGGATGCAGTCTCTCCTGAGTGGAGAGAAGTCCCCACACTCAGGTACTCTCCCTGGCATCTCTATGCAATGAACACACTGCAGAAAGAGATAGCCCTGTGCCTGGGACTCTTCCCTCTTCCAATTGCATGATTCTTGGCCTCAGAGGAATTGCCCCCTCCCTTCTTTTTAAAATATCCATAAAGTTTTATCTCCGGTGTATCCAGATCCAAATTTCTTAGCTCTGGCCCCCTCTGCCTTCAACTTAACCACAGTGGTGGATTCAGAAACAAATAGAGCAACTGAATAGCCATTACTTTTGTTGGGGGTCAACTGGAAATTCCAGAATCATGAATGGGAAATTTTATGCCTAAGCCCTAAAGTGCAGAAAATATATGGATATATTGAAAGATTGGCCCCATTTCACATTTACTATTTCAATACCCACAAGTGATTGAGATTTCATAAAACCATAAAGGAGATATTGACATTACCCATAACATTACCTATGTGTGGTCAGAAACTAGGTCTTCTAATTGTCCCAAGATAATCTATTAAGGCAGCCTATCCATTATAACGAGGTCTTGGTTTATTAAAAAGACATTGTACATTTGAAGTAAATTGAGTGCTTCTCATGAAGGAGTGTTTAAATACAGCAATAGAAAATGGGTGCATATTAAAAATTGGGTGCCAATAGCTGGTTCTGAAGCTCATTAAAACAAATGAAAGACTTGAAATGTTTTTCTGGATTTTTTTTTGGCAGAAATTACACATCCACATTGCAAGTTTAATGATTCTATGCTTGTGATTAAAACTTGAGTAATAATTTTTTTCCTTTGAAGAACATAATAAACGCATGTGGCATTCATAATATTCAGTACTTCTCTGTCATATGGTAGAGTTTCTGGGTACTTAAAAATATTAACTCATTTGCATAATACCACTTGGAACAATTTCCATCTTATGGCTCCAATTATATCAATGAAAAATTAAAAATGGAAAAGTTGTATCAGGTCAGTGCCACAATCCTAATAAAAATTCAATAATACAGGTAAGTCAAGCCCAAGTTTAGGGCCCCCTGAAGGGAACCGGGAAGGCCTTACAG